AGGAGTAGAGAGTGGAGGGTGAGTCTGCCTGGCTCTACTGCAGGACTGGGCTGGGCCGAGGAGGCTTGTCTAGCAAGGAGCACGCCTGCTTGGCTTCATGGAAGGTGTGTGGCGTGCGTGCATGTGTGTGTAGAGGGTGCACAAGTGGGCAAATGACTGTGCGCTTAGATCTGTGCGTGTGTGGTGTCTGTGTGTGGTGTGTGCGTGTTGTGTGTGTGTGTGTGTGTGCGTGTTGTGCGTGTGTGTGTGGTGTGTGTGGTGTGTGTGGTGTGTGTGGTGTGTGCGTGTTGTGCGTGTGTGTGTGGTGTGTGTGGTGTGTGCGTGTGTGTGGTGTGTTGTGTGTGTGTTGTGTGTAGGCCTGGCGTTGATCCCTCTACACCTTGTTCTTTTTGATGCATGGTCTCAGTCAAACCCAGAACTCACCAATATGCTACCTTAGTCTTGTGAGCCAGCTAGCTCTGGAGAGCCCATCTGTCCGTCTTCTTAGGCTGCAATTACTAATGAGCCGGCAAGTCTACATAGCATTTAGGTGGCTTTTGGGGATCCGAACTCTGGTCCTCATGCTTGTGGAGGCGCGTGCTTTTAACCACTAAGCTATCCTCCTAGTTTCTAGACAGGGCCAGGCTCCTGAGGGGCCAGGCGCTTGACTCCCTTGAGCCTTGCTGACAAAGGAGCCTGAGGCGCAGCTTCACCTGGTCCACACGCGAGCGATGAGCCAGGTCACGTGCTCCCTACTCTCCCGACACCAACTCTGAAATTGGGATTGACTTTTGCTTGCTTGATTTTTGTGTTTTGAGACAGTTTCTCTGTTTAGCCCTGACTGTCTGAGAACTTGCTCTGTAGACCAGGCTTGGCCTCTGCCTCTGCTGGGATTAAAGGGGTGTGCCACCACCCCCTGGTTTAAGTTGGAGTTGGAATTTCTCAGCGGTTTTTGTCTGTCTTGACGTGCTCTTTCATTTTCTTTCTCAACTGTTTAAAGAAATGGCTTTGGCCATGGGCCATAAGCTGCTGTCCCATGTCCCAGAGCAAGCTGCTTGGAGAGGAAGGAGGGCTGCTCCCAGAGCTGGAAGGGGCTGGCAGCCACAGGGAGCATGGAGCTGGGTGGTAGGTGTTGTTGGGTGACGCCCGTTTCCTCATGAGGCATGAAGGCGTGAAGTGGGGCCCTCAGCGGGCAGGAGCCTTCGGGTATTTGTGTAGCCAAGGTTTGGCCATGGGGTATGGCTTGCCAACACCCACCTCCCTGAGGTTAGTGATATCCTAGGGTGAAAGTGCTTCCAGGGCAGGAGCAGACAGCTTCCTGTGATGTATGGCCCTGCTCTGAAGCACTGCTGGAGCAGGTTGAGAGCCAATAGAGAGCCACCAAGCAGCCTGCAGACTGTGCCAGTGTCTGGCAGCAGGCCTGAAGGAGTGAGGGAAGATGCTGACTGTTGGGCCTGGGGTCTTGGTCCTCTTCTCGGGAGTATACCCTTGACCTCTCCCATCCTCGACTGGCCTTGGAGTTACTCTTGACCTAAATGTGGCCTGTCCCTCCTGTCTCCATGTGCCCCTCCTGACACCAGGGGTTCTTGTTCCCTGTGTTGGGCTCCACAGTCTGGACAGATGTTCCTTCCCTCACAAGTTCCGACTGTTGCTGCTGGGGCTGCAGTCCTGCTTGGAAACAAGGCCCTTGGCTGCTCTCTTGGGAGTTCTAGCCTGGGAAACTAGGGAGGACCCCTCTGGAGGCCTGGGCCCTGCTGCCCTTCCTTCAGCACCCTGGTCGTCCTGCCCCTTATCATCTGCTCGCTGTTCTCAGGGTGGGGCTACCCTTCGCCCCTCCCTGGACTCTGGCTCCATTGGTTTCCCTTCCAGCTTGGCCCTCCGAGGCCTGGGGAGGGGGCGCAGTGCTGGCGTCTGGACTGCAGTGCCATGTCTGTCAGGGTTTTCCCAACTCTTGCTCTCTGGGTCACCTGCACCTTCATGTTTTCATGTCTCCAGCCTCCTCAGCAGCTGTGGGCTCTGGACCGCCCCCTGAGGCCCAGCAGGCCTGGCCACAGAGCAGTGGGGAGGAGGAGTTGCAGCTCCAGCTGGCCTTAGCCATGAGCAAGGAGGAGGCTGACCAGGTACGGGCGCTGCAGAGGGAGAGGGGCTGGCTTCTGTTCTGCCATCTTGTCCTCATGCCTCGCTCGCCTCACTGTCCCTCCACCTGCTCTCCCTCTCCCTGCCCCTGCCCTGTCTCTCTTCTGCTCCTCCACCTCTAGCTCCTTGCTCCCGGGAGGCTGTCCTGCACCCTGGCAGTCAGGTGCACAGCTCTTTCTCTGCCCACCTTCACCTATTTGAGAGAAACACTGTCCCTCTCTTTCTTGGTCTCTCTGCTCTGGTCGGCCTGCCTCTCTGCCTGCGCCTCTGGCCCTGGCTCCCCCTGCCCTGCCCCTCATACTTTCTCTCCGCCAGCCCCCTCTCTGCCTGCGCCTCTGGCCCTGGCTCCCCCTGCCCTGCCCCTCATACTTTCTCTCCGCCAGCCCCCTCTCTGCCTGCGCCTCTGGCCCTGGCTCCCCCTGCCCTGCCCCTCATACTTTCTCTCCGCCAGCCCCCTCTCTGCCTGCGCCTCTCCCCAGTGCTCCCCCAGCCCCCCCCCCCACT